ACAATACTTCATATATTTGTTTTACCACGAGTTATAATGATTCCGATACCTATCTTAATTTACCCACTGGAGACTGTCTGTGATTTCCTGCAGCCTACAATAACCTGGAACATAGAAGGTACTCATATTTGTTGACTTGATATTACAGGCAAAAATTTACCAACATAGAAATAAACATGGATGATCTTTTTAAAAAAAACTTTTTTATTTGAAAGTCAGAGTTACATAGAGAAGGAAAGGTAGAAAGAGGGAGAATCTTCCATCCACTGGTTCACTCCCCAGTTGGCTGCAATGGCTAGAGCTGTACTGATCCACAGCCAGGAGTGAGGAGCTTCTTCTGGGTCTCCCACGTGGGTGCAGGGGCCCAAGGACTTGGGCCATCTTATGCTTTCCCAGGCCATAGCAGAGAGATGGATCGGAAGAGGAGCAACCAGGACTAGAACCGGCACCCATATGGGATGCCAGCACTGCAGGCGGTGGCTTTACTTACTGCACCACAGCACCAGCCCCAGGGATGGACATTGTAGAACAACAGGTTAAGCCACTGATAGGGGAGCCCATATCCCATATCAGAGGGCCTGGAATGGAGCCCCGCCCCTGCTTTTTTTTCTTTCTTTTTAAACATTTATTTATTTATTTGAAATTAAAAGGCAGAGATACAGAGAGTGAGAAAGAGAATCTTACATCCACTGAATCACTCCCTAAATGGCCACAAAGGCTGGGGCTGAGCCAGGCTGACGCCAGGAGTTTCTTCTAGGTCTCCCTTTGGGTGCAGGGGCCCAAGGACTTGGGCCATCTTCTGCTGCTTTCCCAGGCACATTAGCTGGGAGCTCGATTGGAAGTGGAAAGCTGGGACTTGAACCAGCACTCACATGGGATGCTGGTGCTGCAGGCGGAGGCTTAACCCGCTATGCCACAGTGTCGGCCCCCATGTCTGCTTTCGATCCAGTTTCCTACGAATGTCCTAGGAGGCAGTAGATGATGACTCAAGTACTTGAGTCTCTGCCATCCAGCGTAGGAGATCCAGATGGAGCTCCTGGCTCCTGCCTTTGGCTGTTGGAGGCATTTAAGGAGTCTCTCTCCGTGTTGCCGTATGTTTCAAATGAATAAAAATAAATCTTAAAAGTGTGTATGCTTTTAAAAATAGGAATGAATACTACTGATGATTTTTTTTTTAGATTGGAAGAACATGGCAAAATGGTAGTGATGGGTGCATTTATGATCACTTTTGCTTTTTGTTATTGGAAATCTTATTAAATTTTGCTCATGGGATAGCTAAATATGACAGGTATTTCCAGGTCTGGTGAAAGGGCTCATAGTCTTAGGCATCTTTGTTTTTTTTTTCTTGAAAGGCAGAGAGAGAAAGATCTCCCCTCCTCTGGTTCAGTCACCAAATGCCTGCAGTAGCCGGGGCGAGGCCAGGAAAGCTTGGAGTCAGCCTGAGTCCCCCCTTCATCTGTTGCCCTCCAGGATGCACATTAGCAGGATGCTGGATCAGGACTGGATCAGGACTCAAACCCAGGCACTTGCGTATGGGATGTGGGCGTTCCAAGTGGGGTCTTAAATACTATGCCAAACTCCTGTCCTCTTAGCTATCACTTTTTTCCTTAAAAAAAAAAAAATGAAGATAAATAATGAAAAGTCTGTTGAGGGAGATAGGAAGAAACTATTGTTTTAATTTTGTTTACAACAGTGGATCAGATTTTGTTCTTTTATTGCTAGTTTTGATATAATAGGCTCAAAATAATATTGGAATTCAATAATTGGCTATCACTGGGTATATTTTGCATTTATGACTATCAGTGGGATTGTTAGGCTGTTTAGAGCAAGTTTATGGTAAACAATCTACTCTTCTCTAAGTATATTATTTCTATTCATTATTTAGTATTTTATATGTGATCTGTCTTTTGTTTCACTTGTTCTTAGTTTTCTTCTTAGAGAAAGGCAATTAAACCAAATTTGTTCAGCAAGAGGGGCCAGGGAAAATATTATTATTAATTACCTATTTATATTTTGAATAATTTTATTTTTATTTTTCAAAATTAATTTATTTGAATTGCGAAGTTACAGAAAGAGTTAGAGACAGAGACAGAGAGAGAGAGAGAAGTCTTCCATCCACTGGTTCACTCAAATGGCTACAATGACTAGGGCTGGGCCAATTCGAAGCAAGGAGCCTGAAACTGTATCCAGGTCTCCCATATCAGTGGAAGGGGCCCAAGTACTTGGGGCATCTTCCTCTGCTTTCCCAAGTGCATTAGCAGGGAGTTGGATTAGAAGTGGAGCAGCTCAAACTTAAACTGGTGCCTGTGTTGCAGACTATGGCTTAACTAAGTGTTAACAGTGCTAGCTCCCCATATTTTTTATTTTAAATCTCTTTAAAATATACCCTTCCTGTCTTCTGACTTAATAAGTAACTTTAACGTTTCATTTAAGCAAAAGAACTTAAAACTTTCAATAAATGCTTGTATCATGATAGTGGTTTTGTTATTTATTGAGTTTTGAGCTGAGTCTGTTGAACTGGTCATTTCATCTTTTTATAGTTTATCCCATCTGAATTGTATGTATATTTGCTGTTAATTTTGACAAACTCTTGAAACAGCCTAAGATTCTTTTTACCTCCTTAAGGGAGAAGCCCTTTTGTTAAGATAATCTCTTAAAATGAACTTCAGTATTTTTTATTACATGTCATTTGGACTTTGTAAAGTTACTAAGAAAGTAAAAAGTAGATAGGAGACTGTAACTCAAAGAAGTTTTTTGGTTCTTGAACTTAAAGAGTGGTTAAAATTTCCACAAATTATGAGGCTGCCAAAACACTCTTGTTAAGATTTTGGAATCTGATTTACTAAATACCCATTGGGGAGAAAAAAAATCACATTAAAGCAATCAGCAGTATAATATTCTGAAGGCATTCAGCATTAACCAAAATATAGGAAATGGTTAAAATTTTAGTTCTAGTGATAGAAACCTGAATTCTTCATTATAAAATTTTAGGTTTTTTAAGGATTTATTGTGTATTTGAAAGGTAGAGTTTGAGGGAAACAGAGAGAGAGCGATCTTCCATCCTCTGGTTCACTCTCAGCATGGCTGCAACAGCCAGGGCAGGAGGGCCTGGCCAAAGCATGGAGCCTGGAACTCCATCCAAGTCACGTGGGTAAGGTAAGGGGCCTGAGCACTTGGGCCGTCTTCTGCTGCTTTGCCAGGCATGTTAGTGGAGAGCTGGATCGGAAATAGAGCAGCTGGGACATGAACCAGCACCCACGTAGGGTGCTGGCATTGCAGGCAGGGGTTTTACCTGCTATGCTACAGCACTAGCCCCCTCCCATATACTTTAAATTTTTTCTAGATTACTTATAACAGTAAATACAAGGTAAAATCTATGTAAATAGTTGTACTATGATGACAAGAGAGTCCATATGTTTTCATTATAGATGCAGTTTTTCCCCTAAATGGTTTCAATCTGCAGTTGATTGTGTGGATGTGGAACCCGCCAATATGGAAGGCTAGCTATACTGTTCCTGTTTCATAGACAAGAAAACTAAGCACAGATAAATGAGAAATGAAAGGACTTTACCAAGGCCACTCAGCATTTGAACCCACACAGTCTAGCTTTAGACCTGTGCCTTTAATCTTTGTTCACTACTGCTTTTCAACAGGAGGGTAAGAATTTGGGGTTTGGAATAAGACAGATCTTAACTCATGGCTGTCACTTACAGTCTTGGGATGGAAGTATGTTTCTTGACCTCTCTGAGCCTCAGTATTCTTGTTTATAAAACAAGGGTTGTTTTAGGCATAAAATGAGATCTGTTAACTGCTTAGCACATTGTTCAGCAGGCACCATGCTTATTTGTTAGATGGTAAGCATCATCATAACGAAGACTGACATTTTCTGTGACCCTGAAGATCTAAAGTATTACTTAATTCCTTTAAATTAAAAAGTTATCAAAATAATTTTAAAAACACACAGATACTGAAAAGCGAAATGAAAAGGTCACCAAAAGAAAACAACCATTAGTAGGCCGGCGCCGTGGCTCAATAGGTTAATCCTCCACCTTGCGGCGCCGGCACACCGGGTTCTAGTCCCGGTCGGGGCGCCGGATTCTGTCCCGGTTGCCCCTCTTCCAGGCCAGCTCTCTGCTATGGCCAGGGAGTGCAGTGGAGGATGGCCCAGGTGCTTGGGCCCTGCACCCCATGGGAGACCAGGAAAAGTACCTGGATCCTGGCTCCTGCCATCGGATCAGCGCGGTGCGCCGGCTGCAGCGGCAGCCATTGGAGGGTGAACCAACGGCAAGGGAAGACCTTTCTCTCTCTGTCTCTCTCTCTCACTGTCCACTCTGCCTGTCAAAAAAAAAAAAAAAGAAAAAAAAGAAAACAACCATTAGCAACTTTTTATTTTAAAAGATTGATTTTATTTATTTGAAAGACAGAATTACAGTGAGAGGTAGGGACAGAGAAAGAGGGATCTTCCATCACTGGTTCAATCCCCAATAGGCTGCAAAGGCTGGAGCTGAAACAATCAGGAGCTAATCCTCCGCCTTGCGGCGCCGGCACACCAGGTTCTAGTCCCGGTCGGGGCGCCGGATTCTGTCCCGGTTGCCCCTCTTCCAGGCCAGCTCTCTGCTGTGGCCTGGGAGTGCAGTGGAGGATGGCCCAGGTGCTTGGGCCCTGCACCCCATGGGAGACCAGGAGAAGCACCTGGCTCCTGGCTTCGGATCAGCACGGTGCGCCGGCCACAGCACGCCAGCCGCAGCGGCCATTGCAGGGTGAACCACCGGCAAAGGAAGACCTTTCTCTCCTCTCTCTCACTGTCCACTCTGCCTGTCAAAAAAAAGAAGAAGAAGAAGAAGTCTGACCAGATACTGCATTTTTAAATAAATTCACTGGGTGTGGTATAGCAATAACTAATTCCCCCTTCTACAGCCTTCATAACAAGCATGTCTAATGCTCTTTTCTTTTTTTTCTTTTAGATCTACACACAATGAGCTGGAAAAGAATCGGTGAGTCAGTGACAAGGTGCAGCTTTCACTTACATTTAAAAAGCAAACTCACCATTTTACCTGTGAAGATAATGTAATAATAGTACATATGCAGTTGCAATGTTACTTTTAAAAGTATATAACCTATCATGGTTCTGATGTATATATGCTTCCTCTCCCTCCCCCCCCCCAAAAAAAAAACTAACTTAAGTAGTAGGCTTATAGTATGTATAAAATGGAAAAAGTAAATACGTTTTTGAGCTCATTAGAATTTTGTGTTTCTAATATAGCCTTCTTCATTTCTGTTTCTGAAGACAGGTTAATTGTGATAAATTTGTGGCTTAAATATGATCTTACTAAAGGGATAGGTTTCTGAAGAGTAGGTCATAAACATGACAAATTGTTGAGCATTGAATTTTTCTTTGCAGTTTGTTCATTCCTTGTTCATGCATTCAGATATTTATCAAGTATGAATTATATGTCAGTGTCTGGTAGGCAGAATATTTACATAGGAAATATGAGTAGATTCTGTCATTAAGGAACTCAAAGCTTCATAGATAGGTAATTCAAATACTGCACAGGGTCAGGCATTGTGGCACAATGGGCTAAACTCCTTCTCATGACAGGGTGCTGGTTGTAGTCCTGTCTGCTCTGCTTTTCATTCAGCTTCCTGGTGATGCACCTGGGAAGGCAGTGTAAGATGGCCCAAGGACCAGATTTAGATGTGAAGGAATTACAAAAGCCATATAGGGGCTGGCACTGAAGCCTAGTGGGTAAAGCTGCCACCTGCAATGCTGGCATCCATATGGGCGCTAGTTGAGTCCTGACTGTTCCACTTCCGATCCACTGGGAAAATAGTAGAAGATGGCCCAAGTGCTTGGGCCCCTACACCCACGTGGGTGACCTGGAGGAAGTTCCTGGCTCCTAGCTAGGGATAGACCCAGCTCCAGCTGTTGTGGCCATTTCGGGAGTGAACCAATGATGGAAGAGCTCTCTCTTTCTCTTCTCCCTGTAACTCTGCCTTTCAAATAAATAAATAAATCTAAAAAAAAAAAAAAAAAAGAAGAAGAAGAAGAAGCAAGCCATGTGGGAGACCAGAGTGGCATTCCTGGCTCCTGGCTTTGGCCTGGCCCAGTCCTGGCTGTTGCAACCACTTGGAAAGTAAACCAGCAGATAGCAGATCAGTTTCTCTCTTTCTGACTCTCTGCCTTTCAAGTAAATAAATCTTTAAAAAAAAAACTGGATAATATGATAAATATGGTAATGGATAAGCAGAAGGCGCTGAAAGATCATTGGGGAGGGTCACCTGATTTCCCTTTGAAGGTTATCTTGAAAGGGTCTGCAGAGGAATGAGCACTGTATGTTAAGGAAACTGCAAGGGGTTCAGTGTGAAAACAAAAGGCTAGAGCATGAGGTAAGGCAGACCAGATGTTGAAGAGGCTTGTCACCCGTGTTGAAGAGTGCTTTTCCCGAGAGCAATAGGAAGCAGCAGCAATTGAGTGATGCTAAGATGGGTTGCCATATGATCATATTTGTGTTTTGGAAAGATCACTTCAGATTCACCTGTCTGAATATGGTCCTTGGGCCATCTTCTGCCTTCCCAGGCACGTTCGCAGGAAGCTGAATCACAAGTGGAGCAGATGGGCCTCCATCTGGTCCTTTGATATGGATGCTGTTACCACGAGGGGCAGCTTAAGCTGCTGTACCACAGTGCTGGCCCCTATATATATATACAGATATAGTCACATATCCGTCTCCCCTGTGAAGCTTTGAGTTTCTTAGTGACAGAAACTATCTTACACAACCTTGTATTTCCTATGTAAATAATCTGCCTGCCAGATAATTGGTTGGTTCAGTGAAGGAGTACCAGAGGCACGAAGGCCCCTTTGGAAAGGCTTTGTAGCAATACCGGTAAGAGATAATGTGACCACAGTGATACAGGCAAACAAAATAGAGAATGGAGTCTAGTCAGGACAGCTCAGTGGTTAGGTGACTGTAGACAGTTTTAGATGGTATAGCCATTGACTGAAGAAAGGAATGTAGGAGGAGGACAAGTCTGGGAGAGAACACAAGAATTATAAGAGTAAAATATTCTCATTTTTGCACAGAGATTAGTTTAATAACAACAAACAGGGATTGTCTGCACCAGCCACTTTTGACAGAGATTAGATCTCATGACCATCAATTTTTTGTCAAGCCTTTTTTTTTAATTAAAGGGATATTACAGCCTGCCTGCCTCATTGCAGATCAGTTTATTTGTCAAATCCTTTTGAAAAGGTGTTGCCTAGTTCAGCTTAACTAACCACTTTGTATGTCGCTCCCCCTCTTCATGGAGGAACGACACTAAACCCTGCCTAGGCTTCATATCTGAGTCACGGCACCATTATGTCACTCCCCCTCTTCGTGGAGGAACGACACAGGACCCTGCGCTGTTCTTTTGTCTGCTCGGCCCTCTCCGGGTTTGCTGCTGGTTCTTCCCGGGTTGGCTGCCGTCCCTTCCACCTCCGTGGAAGGGCGGTTCCCCCTGCCACATTCCCCACTTCCGCGGGGGAGCGGCACACTGCCGGCCGGCTCTCTGGGGGCTGCACAGGTGTTCCCCTTAGATGTTCCCCTTAGATGTTCCTGGTGCATGCCGTCTCTCTCCTCCTTTATAGTCCTCCTCCGCCAATCCTAACTCGGCTGCCCACACGCCGAGTACGCTGCTCTCCTCCAATCAGGAGCAAGTCCTACAGTTTATTGGCTGAACTGGAGGCAGCTGTGTAGAAGCTGTTTTCTCCTCTCCCAGCGCCATATTGTGGGAGAGCAGATGCATAGAATAAGTCTTAATTCCAGTAACTTAGTCTAGTCCGAGTTGCTCCCCACATTTGTACAATGTTCTGTTCATCTCTGCTGGTGTAAGACTGATAGGTAGCATTGAATTATTTGTTTATGTATCTCTTTCTGACAAATGACTATGATTACCTTAAAGGCAAGGATTGTATTATGTTCAGTTTTGTATCCTCAGTGCCTAGCATTTGACACATGTACAGTAGATGATGACTTTAATATTGGTTGAAGTATAAAACTAGAGCTTAAAGTTTAGTGGTCCAGTCAAAAGAATTTTGCTAGTTTGTGGCAAACAGTTCAGCAGGAGATCCTCTATTTTTTTTTGTTTAAGATTTATTTTATTTATTTGAAAGACAGAGTTACAGAGAGAGGTAAAGACAGAGAGAGAGGTCTTCCATCCGCTGGCTCACTCCTCAGATGGCTGCAATGGCCCGAGCTGCGCCGATCCGAAGCCAGGAGCCAGGAGCTTCTTCCACGTCTCCCACATGGGTGCAGGGGCCCAAGGACCTGGGCCATCTTCTACTGCTTTCCCAGGCCACAGCAGAGAGCTGGATCAGAAGAGGAGCAGCTGGGACTAGAACCGGCGCCCATATGGGATGCCAGAGCTTCAGGCCAGGGCTTTAACCCACTGTGCCACAGCACCAGTCCCAGATCCTCTATTTTTTAAAATTTTATTTTTTTAATGTAAAGTATATTGATTTAAAAAACAATATAAACTACAAGTCTGTCTGTGTTTCTGGCCTTTCCTTGTTCTCTTGCTGAGATCCTCTGAAGAATCTCTTTTCTGCCTTATATTTTTGGTACACTAAAGGTATAGTGTGTTAAAGGAAGTATCTAGCTAGTTTACACATAGCAAAAAGCTCAAGAAATGACAGCCCTGAGGATTCTACAAATAAAACCTTACAGTACAGCATGGAGTATATTTTGGGCCCAGTTGCCGTATACAAGGGTACTTCAGAAAGTTCTTGAAAAAATAGAATTAAAAGATCAGTTTATTTTGGGAACAGTGCTGTGGCAAAGCAGGTAAAGCTGCTGACTGCAGTGCCAGCATCCCATATGGATGCCGGTTTGAGTCCTGGCTGCTCCACTCCTGATCCAGCTTTCTGCTATGGCCTGGGAAAACAGTAGAAGATAGATGGCCCAAGTGCCAGGGTCCCTGAGCTGCATGGGAGACCCGGAAGAAGCTCCTGGTTCCTACTTCAGATTGGCGCAGCTCTGGCCCTCGTGGCCAACTGGAGAGTGAACCAGCAGATGGAAGACCTCCGCCTCTCCGTCTCTCTGTAACTCTGACTTTCAAATAAGTAAAATAAATCTCTAAAAAATGAAATAAAAAGATTATTTTATTGCAAAAGTATTTTGAAATGCGTGCATAGTTTTTTCATAGTATGCATTTTCCACTTACTTTTTGAGTATCTTACTAGTAAACATTGCTTTTGTAATTATTTCACTGATCTAAATGTGGTCCTTGAGACACCCTCATTGGAAACCTGGCAACAACTTTCATATAACACTGGAGTGAAAACTCTTTTTAATGACTATTTGAGTGAAGTTTTTAAAATCCTTCAGTTAATTTTGTTTAATGCATTCTGCATATAATATTTGACTCATGAATAATCTTTAAAAAAAAACAGAGAAAATGATCTATGTGCCACCTATAGTATTACTTTGATATTTCCTGTAAGTTGTTTAATCTAGTATATGTGGCACAGGTGCAGCATGCATGCTTTTTATGTCTGGGTTGTATGCCATCTCCAGTGAAGGTCTTCTGTTCCTGTTTTATCTACTCAGGTCTAATACTTTCTGACATTTTTCCTACCATACCTCACTTAAGGCATGGTCCCCTCTTCTTCTGATTGCCTTAGAAAAAGCCAATAGGCTTTATTAACTCAGAAGGGCTAGTAGACATTCTTAATTTTCAAGGTACTCCTTGCCCTCTCTCCCTTCTCTTTTTGATTTTTCTTTTCCACCTTCCCTCTTTTCTCTGAAGCCTCACTGAAAGGTGATACAGGATTCCAAGATTCGTTTTTAAAAGGGATTCTTATCAATGTAAAACTCTTAGTGTGTGCCAGAGTCAGTCCCAAAGGAAAAACCAAATTTAATCATCTGTACTCCACTTCTGAAAAGTAAACCAGCTTGTGATCTGTCAAAACCCCAAAATATTAGTAGGCACAAGAAGATTTAAAGATGAGCAGGTGTTTTAGCTGAATAGCAGGAGGATGGCACTGGAATATTTAAAAAACTTAAGCCTGTATCATTATTATAATTTTTAGGCCCTTGCCCAGGTCTATTTAATAGTCTTTTTTAACCAACACACCATTTTTATTTGATGTGTTAAAAAAATGTTAACCTTGGTGTTCTTTAAAAGAAAAAGAATTTTTACTTTACGTTTCACTTGCCCTTGAGTGCATTCTTGTGTGAAGAACGTATAAGAAAGGTAAATCAGTTTCATCTTTCTGAAAAAGTTTCCTATAGTAATTCATATTTTTGCAATTTTGCCATTTTATATATACTATGTTCATGTCAGAAATCACTTATTTTCTTTTTTATTGGTTCTAAAATCTTGCATATAAATCTGCTTGCATGTAAATCTGGGGCACATGCAGTGAGAATTAGAATAGGTGATTTTTATTTATTAGTGAATGGCAGAGTAATTCCAGCTGGCTGCCTTAAGCAGTGCCCTCAGAGTGTTGGAGGCCTGGGGTCTGGGTTTGAGGAGACAATAACAAGTAAATGTTGGAGTTCATGTTCTCAGACCTCAGAGGAAAGCCTAAAGGCAGAGATCTGGGGTCTTGTATACTCAGAGTAGTTTGCTCTGTGTCCGCAATTACTCTAGGATGCCTACATCTCACTAGGGAGCATTCGATTTTTCAGGATTGTTAGAGAAATTCATATTATTTCTTGCCTAGATCCTGGGGACAGATTTCTGCATGTTAGTTGTACTAATGGTTCAGAGTATTTGTTGTGTTTTCTCCCAGTCCCTCCTAGACTAAAAACAAATAAGGTAGAGATAGAGGAAAAGGAGAATTCCTTTAGATGATCTGCATTCCTTGAACTTGTGCCAAGTTAAATTTAGTGGTCAGTTTAATGAGTCTTTGAGATTGAAGAATTGAGTTTACTTCTCCCACTGGCCTACCTTATGAGTTGGGTCCTTTACCAGAGAAGAAACTATTTAGTACAGATTCTTAGTCACTTCATTGCTTTTTCATTTTTTCAAATGGCTGATGATGCTTTTGATAGAGTCCGTAACTTGAACAGGACTTAACTGGTCGAGAAACTTAGTACTGACTGCAGGAGAGGCCATTCGTCCCAAATAGCTGTGATGCCTCTGAAAGAAAAGCCTGACCCATAATACAACTTTGATAAAACTGGAAGGGTCGAATGAGAACCCTAGACTCAGTGCCTTCCCAGGCAAAGCAGAAATGACTGTGATAAGAGAAGGACGTCCAATGGAACAGCAATGGCGTGTTCTCCATGTAGGTACTTTCACATGCTTCTGTGAAAATTACCATTTGTGGAGTTCTTAACTGGAGTTTCCCCACTTTCAAAGGCTATTGTATCATTCCATAAAGTAAGAAGGCAGAAAGTATGGGCCAGAGTGTCATTGAAAACTGGTCATTTTTGGTTGCCATTAACTACAGCTTGAAATAAGATGGATATGAACATAGAGCAATCCTAATCGTGACCTTATCTGATCTTGAATATTATAACTGTTTAATATCAGTCTTTCTCTTCAGTAACGATTAAGAAATACTGTACTTGAGGCCGGCGCCGTGACTCACTTGGTTAATCCTCTGTCTGCAGCGCCGGCATCCCATATGGGCCTCAGGTTCTAGTCCTGGTTGCTCCTCTTCCAGTCCAGCTCTCTGCTGTGGCCTGGGAGTGCAGTGGAGGATGGCCCAAGTGCTTGGGCCCTTGCACCCGCATGGGAGACCAGGAGGAAGCACCTGGCTCCTGGCTTCGGATCGGCGCAGTGCGCTGGCTGTGGCAGCCATTTGGAGGGTGAACCAACAGAAGGAAGATCTTTATCTCTCTCACTGTCTAATAAAAAAAATACTGTACTTGGCATTGTGATATATACAATATGATAACTGACCCTATCCTAAACGTACTAAGATTGTTATAATTTGGTATTTATAGGTTTCATCTTTGAATGTTATAATCTAGTTAAGTGACTCATAAATGTCCAGGGAGATGCACTAATGGTGTTCTTCAAATTAAAGGCTGAAACATGCATGGGTTATGCCATCATTTTCGTTAAGTCACTTTGTAAAAGAAAGATGATAAAATAGAAAACACCAAAGTACATTGCATCAAGTAAACTTAAATATAGAACCGTGAAACTTGTTATACTCTATAATGATATAAAATTCTATGGGTTATAGTCAAACTACTACTCTGCATAGCCAAAGAAATGTTTGCTGAGCTGTGAAGGAGAGAGAGAATTTGAATATAAGAAAATAATAAGGAACAGAGTTGATGTGGGTAGAACTGTGGAAGCGGGAAAATGGCATCATAAACTGTTCAGAAAAAAGTGAGTAGACCAGATTGAGTGGAATAGCTGCGTCTTAGCTAGAGAATGGAAAAGTGGTTTGGGATTAGTCGTATATTACTGAATTTGAAGGAATGTGGATTTTTTTTAAATTTTTTTTATTTATTTATTTATTTATTTTTTGACAGGCAGAGTGGACAGTGAGAGACAAAGACAGAGAGAAAGGTCTTCCTTTGCCGTTGGTTCACCCTCCAATGGCCGCCGCGGCCGGCGCGCTGCGGCCGGCACACCGCGCTGATCCGATGGCAGGAGCCAGGAGCCAGGTGCTTCTCCTGGTCTCCCATGGGGTGCAGGGCCCAAGCACTTGGGCCATCCTCCACTGCACTCCCTGGCCACAGCAGAGGGCTGGCCTGGAAGAGGGGCAACCGGGACAGAATCCAGCGCCCCGACCAGGACTAGAACCTGGTGTGCCGGTGCCGCTAGGCAGAGGATTAGCCTAGTGAGCCGCGGCGCCGGCCGGAATGTGGGTTTTATTTTGTTGACAGTGCTGTTATTGAAACTTTTGAGGGGCCGGCACTGTGGCACAGCGGGTTAAAGCCCCAGCCTGCAGCGCCAGCATCCCATATGGGCGCTGGTTTGAGACCCGGCTGCTCCTCTTCCCATCCAGCTCTCTGCTGTGGCCTGGGAAAGTAGTCGAAGAGGATCCAACTCCTTGGGCCCCTACTCCCACGTGGGAGACCAGGAGGAAGCACCTGGCTCCTGGCTTCGGATCAGTGTAGCATGCCGGCCGTTGGAATGAACCAATGGAAGGAAGACCTTTCTGTCTGTCTCTCTCTCTCTCACTGTCTAACTCTGCCTGTCAAAAAAAATCAGCAACATCTATTATCATTATAATAAAGTGAAAAGTCACAAAATATATAAAATACTCTTGAAGGTTCAAAGAACATATTGATAATAATGCCATAGGAGGGAAATGGGAAATTTAATTCTTAAAATGTAAATAGATCAAAGCCGGCGCCGTGGCTCAATAGGCTAATCCTCCACCTTGCGGCGCCGGCACACCGGGTTCTAGTCCCGGTTGGGGCGCCGGATTCTGTCCCGGTTGCCCCTCTTCCAGGCCAGCTCTCTGCTATGGCCAGGGAGTGCAGTGGAGGATGGCCCAGGTGCTTGGGCCCTGCACCCCATGGGAGACCAGGAAAAGCACCTGGCTCCTGGCTCCTGCCAGGATCAGCGCGGTGCGCCGGCTGCAGCGGCGGCCATTGGAGAGTGAACCAGCGGCAAAGGAAGACCTTTCTCTCTCTGTCTCTCTCTCTCACTGTCCACTCTGCCTGTCAAAAAAAAAAAAAAAAAAAATGTAAATAGATCTAGATGAGAAAACATTGATAACATCTTGAAGCATTTTTACCTTGCAGAACTTTAGCCTGCTTATGAGAAGAGGATTAGTATCTTAGAAACAATTTTAGAGGCTGTCGCCTCTGTCAGTTCATTAGGGTATCATACAGTGTTCTGAGACAAGGACAGGTAATTCTGTAAAGGGAGCAGTTACCTGATGTTATTTATGATTTGTGAGAACTTTATTTTTTCCTTATTCCATTACTTAAAAATTGTAAGCATTTTTATACAGAAAATGTATATATATGGGGACTAGAATTCTATAAATTACTTCAAATCTGGTTTTGGTGTGTCTTAGAATTTAAATTTTTTAGACTTTATTTTTTATTGTGAGAGAAAGAGAGTGTGAGCACTCCCATCCACTGATTCACTGAAATTCTCACTGAGTGGGCCAGGCTGGGCCTGTCCAAAGCTGGAAACCAGGGTCTCCCCCCTGATCTCCACGTGCGTGGCAGGGACCCAGCTACTTGATTGCTCTCCCAGGGTGCACATCAGCAGGAAAGTACAATCAGGAGCAGAGCCAGAACTCTAACCTAAGTACTTGGATATGGGATGTGGATGTCTCAAATAGCATTTTCACTGCTAGGCAAAATACTTGTCCCATGTGTTAGAACTTTTGATGTATTCATTATTTTATCCCAGCTGTTTGGATGTGATAATGATTATTTATTTCTAGATGATCTACCACGTCCCCATTTGACATAGATATTTTGGGAGAGTGGTTGTTTTGGTCTGCCTTATCTTGGAACAGAACATAAGAGTAAAACTTTGGGAACAGTTTCTTAGTATATCATCTGACTGCTTGGGATTTCTTGGTGCGAGGAACCTATCTTAACTGGTTATGTTTTTGTATGTGTTTGTATGATACTTGTATGTTTAAAAAGAACATATAGGGGCAGGTGTTGTGGCTTAGCGGGTAAAACAACCACCACTGCAATGCTGCCAGCATCCAATGGGCCCCAGTTCATGTCTTGTCTGCTCCACTTTTTATTTTTTAAACAGGCAGAGTTAGAGAGAGAGAGAGAGAGAGAGAGAGAGAGAGGAGAGAGAGAGAGGTCTTCCTTCCATTGGTTCACCTCCCAAATGGCTACTACGAAGCCAGGAGCCAGGAGCCACATGCTTCCTCCTGGTCTCCTGTGCGGGTGCAGGGCCTAAGCACTTGAGCCATCCTCCACTGCCTTCCTGGGCCACAGCAGAGAGATGAACTGGAAGAGGAGCAACCAGACAGAATCGGGTGCCCCAACCGGGACTAGATCCCGGGATGCCAGCACTGCAGGCGGAGGATTAGCCAAGTGAGCCGCGGCGCCGGCCTGCTCCACTTCTGATCCAGCTCTCTACTAATGGCCTGGGAAAAGTAGAGGAAAGTGGCCCAAATGGGCCCCTGCAACCCACATGAGACTCAGATGAAGATCCTGGCTCCTGGCCATTGGTCTGGGGCGTGAACCAGTGGATGAAAGAGATTTCTTTCTCTTTCTGTCTCTCTGTAACTCTGATTTTCAAATAAATAAATCTTTTGGGAAAAAATATACTTTTATATACAGAGGGCACATTCCAGAAAACATGTACACTTGTTAAGAGGATAAAACAAGATTGATCTAGCAGACTTTTCATTGAAGCTCTTATTTCTCCTAATGGTACTATAAGGGTATTTGCTTGCATCAAAGATAAGTTAGGTGTTAGAGAAACTAAACCTTTATTGTAGGTTTGAAATTAACCTATAACTATAACCAAATTAATAGTACAGTTTGGGTTTGGGTCTATAATACTAGAAAATGGAGTGAAAATCTCCTCTTAGACTTGGTTTACTGTTTATTTTTATTTATTTATATATTTATTTATTTTTACAGGCAGAGTGGACAGTGAGAGAGAGAGAGAAAGGTCTTCCTTTTGCCGGTGGTTCACTCCCTAAGTGGCCGCTATGGCTAATGTGTTGCGGCCAGCACACCGCACCTATCCAAAGGCAGGTGCTTCTCCTGGTCTCCCATGCGGGTGCAGGGCCCAAGCACTCCACTGCACTCCCGGGCCACAGCAGAGAGCTGGCCTGGAAGAGGGGCAACCAGGACAGAATCTGGCGCCCCGACCGGGACTAGAACCCGGTGTGCCGGCACTGCAAGGCGGAGGATTAGCCTAGTGAGCCGCGGCGCCGGCGGTTTACTGTTTAAATGAAAGGTATTAGCATGCCTCAATATGAAAATACCTTACAGTAAAGGTATTTTAAAGTAATAAAGTGTACTAATTACAAGCCCACGGCTAATACGATGTGTAACAGTGAAAGATGAGTGCTTCCTCCTAAGATCAAGAATAAGACATGGATTCCACATCAAGACTGTACTGGAGATTCTATCCAGGGCAGTTAGGCAAGGAAAGCAAATAAAAGGTATCCAGATTGGAAAAAATAAAGCCATTTCTATTTGCAGATACCAATCTTATATATAGAAAAACTATTATAAAGTAAAACCTAATAAAACTCAAACACGAATTTATCAGAGTTACAAGATACAAGATGGAGAGACAGAATCCAAATGTTTCTGTACAGCAGCAATAATCAACGTGAGCATGGATTTAAAAAAACAATTTGTCTGCAGTTATATCCGAAAGAATAAAATACCTAGCAATAAATTTAACCAAGACGACAAAAGATTTGTAAACTGAGAACTATAAAATACTGTTAAATTAAAAAGACCTCAGTAGATGGAAAGACTATGTTCATGGATTGCAGCATTTAATATTATAAAGATGGCAGAATCACCCATATTGTTCTACAGATTCAGTGCAAGCCCTATCAAAGTTCCAGGTACATTTCTGTCAGAAGTTAATTCAGAAGTTCATGTGGAAGTGCAAGGTAACCAGAATAGCCAGAACAATCATGAAAAGAATAACGTTGGAGGATCTGTACTTCTTACCAAGCTGCAGTTACCAGGACAGTAGGAGTAGGTACTGGCCTAGGAGCAGACTTAGAGCTCAGTGGAACAGAGCTAAGAATCCAGAAATATTCCTTTTATTTATGGTTAGCTAATTTTTGATAAGGGTCCCAAGACAATTCAGGGTCTTTTCAACAAATAGTGCTAATAAAATTGAATATCTACATAGAAGAATGAAGTTGGATCCCTACCTTATACCATACACAAAAGGAATCATGAAACTGAATTTAAGAGCCAAAAAATTATAAAATTCTTAGAAGATATGAGAGCAAATTTTTGTGACTTTGAGTTAGGCAGTGATTTCTTATATATAGCAGAAGCATGACTAAAAAAGAAAAAATAGATGCATTAGGTTTTTGTTTTTTTTTTTTTTAAAGAAGGTTTATTTATTTGAAAGGCAGAGTTACAGAGAGCGAGAGGTCTTCCACCCACTGCTTCATTCCCAAAATGTCTGAAATGGCTGCAGCTGAGCCAGTCGGGAGCCAGGAGCTTCCTCTCAGTCTCCCATGTGGCCTGCCTCCCAGATCATAGCCAGGAGCTCGATCAGAAGTGGAGCAGCCAGGACTCAAACCAGTGCCCATATGGGATCCAGCACTGCAAGTGGTGGCTTTACCTGCCTCGCCACAGTGCTAACCCCAATGTGTTAGGCTTTATCAAAATTAAAAATATTCACGTTTCAAAAAACATCATCAAGAAAGTGAAAAGACACCTCAAGGGGCAGCGTTGTGGAATAGCATGTTGAGCCACCGCCTGCAGTGCCAGCCTCCCATATGGGTGCTGGTTCGAGTCCCAGCTGCTTCACTTCTGATTCAGCTCCCTGATAATGTGCCTGGGGAAGCAGTAGAGGATGGCCCATGTACTTGGGCCCCCGCACCCTCTTGGGAGACCAGGAAGAAGCTCCTGGCTTTGGTTTGGCCCAGCCCCCGCATTGCAGCCGTTTGGGGAGTGAACCAGCAGACAGAAGAACTCTTCCCTTCCCTCTCTTTGTCTCTGTCTCTCACTCTCTAACTCTGCCTATCAAATAAGTAAAAATTTTTAAAAGAAGAAATATGAAAAAAAGGCTGCAGAATGGAAGAAAACATTTGCAAAAACATACCTAATAAGAGAGCTAAATTCAAAATATACAAAAAATTCTTTTTTTCCCCACTTATTTTTTCTTTTCTTTTTTTAAAAAAAGATTAAAAAAAAAGATTTATATATTTATTTGAAAGCCAGAGTTACACAGAGAGAGATCTCTCTATCTTCCATCCACTGGTTTACTCCCAAAATGGCTGCAATGGCCAGGGCTAGGCTAGGCTGAAACTGGGAGCCAAGAACACTTTATGGGTCTCCCACATGGGAGCAGGGGCCCAAGTACTTGGACCATCTCCCACTGCTTTCAGCAGGAAGCTGGATGGGAAGTGGAGCAGCTAGGACACAAACCGTTGCCTACGTGGGGTACAGGCGCTGCAGAGGGTGGCTTAACCTGTTGGACCACAGCAGCATCCCCTATAAAGGAATTCTTACAACTAAACAATGAAAACAAATCAGTCAATCTAAAAATGGGCAAAGAATCTGAATAGGTGAGTACTCAAAGAAAATACACAAATGTCCAAAAAGCACATGAAAAGCCTCAACATCAGTAGTCACTATGAAAATGCAAATCACAGGGAGTTACTACATCACATCCACTATGATGGCAAAGTAGGGTTGCTTACCAACTTTGTAGTTACCCATTCATCATGCCAGTTACCACTGATGGAGGAAAGGTCCTAAAAAGACTACTGACCATATAACTTAGCATTTAAGACTACCGATGGGGCCAGCGCTGTGGTGTAGTGGGTAAAGCCACCACCTGTAGTGCCGGCATCCCATACAGTGCCAGTTCAAGTCCCAGCTGCTCCACTTCCTATCCAGCTCTCTGCTATGGCCTGGGAAAGCAGGAGAAGATGGCCCAAGTCCTTGGACCCCTGCATCCGCGTGGGAGACCCGGAAGAAGCTCCTGGCTCCTGGCTTCATATCAGCGCAGCTCCCACCATTGTGGCCAATTGGGGAATGAACCATCAGATGGAAGACCTCTCTCTCTCTCTCTCTCTCTCTCTCTCTCTCTCTCTCTCTCTCTCTTTACCTCTCCTCTCTGTGTAACTCTTTCAAATAAATAAATTAATTTTAAAAAAAGACTTACTGATGTCATCATTAGCTGATGATACTGCACAAATGAGTTATCACTTTACAATTACTGAAGACATGTAACTAACCACAGATAAGTTTCTAATTTATATGGTGCCAAAAATGAATGCTGTGGCACAGCAGGTAAAGCCGCCGCCTGCAGTGCCAGCATCCCATATGGTTGCTGGCTCATGTCCCAGCTGCTCCACTTCCCATTCAGCTCTCTGCTATGGCCTGGGAAAGCAGTGGAAGATGGAGCAAATCCTTGGGCTCCTGCACCCACGTGGGAGACCTGGAGAAAGCTCCTGACTCCTGGCTTCGGATCGGCCCAGCTCCAGCCATTGCGGCCATCTGGGGAGTGAACCAGTGGATGGAAGACCTCTCTCTTTCTCTTTCTGCCTCTTCTCTCTCTGTAACTCTTTCAAATAAAATTAAATAAATAAAACTGAATGGAGTGTAAATATTCAATAGTGAGGAAAGATTAGCCATCTATTTATATAAATAAGATAGTAAATTCAAAAGTATATTTAAAGGTTTTTAAGAACTTCTAATTAGCAGTGCAACTTAACGAAATTAAGGCCAGATATTGGAGCTGGTGCTATAGTGCAGTGAGTTAAACTGTTGCCTGTAGTGCCAGCATCCCATATGGTCACTGGGTCAGGCCAGCTGTGCCACTTCCAGTCCAGCTCCCTGCTAATGTGCCTGGGAAAGCAATGAAGGATGCCCAAGTCGTGTGAGAGACCCAGATGAAGCTCCTGGCTCTTGCCTTCGGAATGGCCCAGCCCTGGCTGTTGTGGCAGTCCAGAGAGTGAACCAGCAGATGAAAGATTTTCTCCCTGGCCCCATAACTCTGCCTTTCAAATAAATACATCGTTTTTTAAATGGCCAAATATTGATAGAATGTAGTAATTTTATCAGTTTCACTTAAGGTTTAATAAAGTATAACAATTTATTATGCTTTTAACAACAAAATTAGAAAGTACAGTTGTTGAAGAAAGTAGAAACAGTATTGTCCAGTGCTTCTAGGACAGTGTCAGTACTGCTGCTTAGGCAAATGAAGATGATGGTTACTTCCCTTTTGTAATCTAAAGGTGGAAAACTAACACCCTTATTTTTAATTCATGTAAAAGTCTGAAAGAAGATAATTATATTCTTTGTACTTTTTTAGACAGTAGGAGTCCAGTTACAATACTGAGTTATGCGGGGTAACTGTAGACACTAAAACAGTAATATGTCTTGGAAAGGAGGGGTACACTCATTTGTACACTCAGTTAAAGATATAAATTAACATCAAGCAATACGAAGACATTCAAACATAATTGGTGTATTTATTTTTGTATAGAAGTGGATGAATATTTTACTATATTTTATTGGGGAGGAATGCTGAAAATTGTAGACCAACTAAAAATAACTGTCAGAGTTCAGATAGGCATCTGTTAGAATTGAATGTTATGTGAGGGATGAAGTGATGGGCAGGTTTTGGAGATAAAATTTATGGTTAATAGAGGAAGTATAGCTAGGATAAAATTACGCACCTAAAATGCAGTCTATGCAATGATGTCATTGCAGTTGTGTCTAGATAGATTCACAGTTTCTATATTGACCTTTGTCAGAAATAGCTCATTAAGACTAAGCTTTCTACTCCCTGATCCAGGCTGCATATATGGCAAAGTGACAGAGGCTGACTCAGAAGCAAGGATTGCATTCTAGAAACTAAGTGTTCTTAGTACTTCAGCTGTCCAATTCCCGAAGTTTAAAGCAATTCTACAACTGATGCATGGGAAGAGATGAGGTTATGAGGTCTTAAAATTCTAAAATGATGTCTAGGAGTCATCAGACATTGAATAACTGACATAGTGAATATTATAATAAACATAGTAGCTTTTTATCCAAGTGATTGCTGAATATCATTCTCAGTGAAGAATGAATGTAGGGGCCGGCACTGTGGCGCAGCAGGTTAACACCCTGGCCTGAAGTGCCGGCATCCCATATGGGTGCTGGTCTAGACCTGGCTGCTCCTCTTCCAATCCAGCTCTCTGCTATGGCCTGGGATAGTAGTCTAAGATGGCTCAAGTCCTTGGGCACCTGCACCCCGTGGGAGACCTGGAAGAAGCTCCTGGCTTCAGATTGTGCAGCTCTGGCTGTTGCAGTCATCTGGGGAGTGAACCAGCGGATGGAAGACCTCCCTCTCTCTCTCTGCCTCTCCTCTCTCTGAGTAACTCTGACTTTCAAATAAATAAATAAACAGATCTTTAAAAAAAAGAATGAATGAATGTAAATTCACTGAATTCATTATCGGTGAATGAAATTAACCTGTTTAAGAAAATATTTCCTCTAAAATTACAAAACTAAATTACAAATTTTTGAAAAAGGAAGAGTTTAATATATTTTCCTGAAATATTTTAGGTGATGTCATGTAAAAGCATTTGTTTTATGTGCAACTTTGATGAATGTTTGATCCATAAAACTGTATCTTCAGTACTGAAGCTCATAATTATACAGCAGAATTCTAGATTTTAGGGCAATATGCTAATTTACTAAATCTGTTTGCTGTATATAGTAAGAAATTAATACAGTGAAAATAGTGTGTTAAATATTGGAATAATAGTAACCACAGTTCAAAGACCTTTTCTTAAACTAGTCTCTTCTGCATTTAAATAAATTTCTGTTCTGATACAAATGTTGGCCATTGAAGTGTGCCAAGAGGTACATCAGTAAGAAGTCCACTTTTTTAGATGAGCAACTTCGTGTCTTGCATTTATCTTTTACATGTTTTAAAATTAATTTTTATTTCATTCGAAAGGCAGAAAGACACAGAGCTTATACATGATGGTTCACTCCCCAAATGCCCCCAACAGCCAGGGCTGACCCAGGCAGAAGCTGGGAACTCAGAGCTCAGTCCAAGTCTCCCACGTGCTTGGTCTGTCTTGTGCTCCTTTCCCAGGTGCATTAGGGAGCTGGGTTGGAAGTGGAGCAGCCAGGACACGAACTGGCACTCCAGTAAAGGATGCAGGTGTCCCAGGCGGGGATATAACCACCGCATCACATGTCAGCCCCTTGAAATTATCTTTATTTCCCTACAATTTGTTTATTTGAAAGGCAGAGTGACCATGGCAGAGAAAGAGATCTTCTTTGCTGGGTTCACTCCCCAAATGGCCGCTGTGGGTGGCCTGAGCTAGGATAGGCTGAAGCCAGGAACTGGAAACCCGTCCAGGTCTCCCAAGTACATAGGCCATCTTCTACTGTTTTCCCAAAGGCATATTGGCAGCGAGCTGAATCAGAAGTGGAGCAGCTGGGACTTGAACCACACTGTGATCTGGGATGCTGAAGTTACAAGGGGCAGCTTAACCTGTTTTACCACGATACTGATCCTGCATCATTTATCTTTTTAAAAGTGAAAAAGTTGATAGTCTTTTGACATGTTATAGCTGTTTTTGTGGGAAGAGAATAATTAATTTGTACTTGCTTATCTTTTTCTACTTAATCTAGTGAATAATGTCAGTTGATAGTCCCAGGAGTATTGTTTGTGAAAAACCTCAGATCTAAGTAAGGATTCAGGCCGGCGCTGCGGCTCAATAGGCTAATCCTCCACCTGCGGCGCCGGCACACCGGGTTCTAGTCCTGGTTGGGGTGCCGGATTCTGCCCCGGTTGCCCCTCTTCCAGGCCAGCTCTTTGCTGTGGCCCGGGAGTGCAGTGGAGGATGGCCCAAGTGCTTGGGCCCTGCACCCCATGGGAGACCAGGAGAAGCACCTGGCTTCTGCCTTCGGATCAGCACAGTGCACCGGCCGCAGCGCGCCGGCCGCGGCAGCTATTAGAGGGTGAACCAACGGCAAAGGAAGACCTTTCTCTCTGTCTCTCTCTCTCACTGTCCACTCTGCCTGTCAAAAAAATAAATAAATAAAAATAAATAAATAAAATAAATAAGGATTCAGTAATGAAAACAGAGTTTTCTCAATCTGATTACTTCCTAACCAGTTCTTGGAGACAGATTTGCTCAGAAAGTAGTTAATTCAGCTCTGGGACAAACACATGACATGATCTTCAAATCGAGAAAAGTTGGAATTTAATTCCTAACTAAATGACTTCCTTGCTTGTTGTTGTTTTGGGGAAAGCCAGTAGAGTAAGATATGTTTTAATAATAAACATGGCATAAGAGTGCAGTTGTCAAAAAGGGTAACACGAATTAAAAAAAAAAAAAAGTGGGGTGGGGTGGGGGGCCGTGTATGCTGCTTTGTGAATATGTAATGCGTTGACATAAGAATGAGAGTGAAAGTTTGGAGAAAAATGCTCCAGGTTCAGTATTTATGGGTGTATTGGAAAGTTAATTGTTATTCTGCTCTTTGAAGCATTTTCCCTTAAATGCATACATACATATGTATTACCTATGTACATTTGTAACTCTCCCAATACACACAATTGAAAGAATAGATGAACAAGTCAGCTTAAAACCTCATTTCATTTAAAATGTGGTACTTTAAAAAATATCTAAAGATAATTGTCATGCATGGTTCTGTAGTTATAATGATAAAGTCTTATTTTATAGTGATGTACTTTGATGAGCAGGAAATACTTGTACAAAACTAGAAGTTGCCCTAAGCAGCATATGTTTGTGTGAATATGCTATACACACATTCCTCAAAGCTGCATATATGTGTATGCATAAATATAGATGAATATAGATACAAATTCTAAAATTTAAATTCAGGACCATGTCCTTTTAGAAAAACTACTTATCACTGACTGGTAAGGAAAGTTAACAGGTTAAACTCTACGTCATTATTGTGACTCCTGGATGCTTTGTAAGTGGAGGCATTGCTGCGTCTGATCAAGTCACTCTCATTGCCCCTGTGATCACTAGATAGGCTATGCGATAGCAGTCACACTGCTGTTGTTCAAAACAAGGAAAGACAGTTTAGCTCATGTACATATTTGTAAATAATCAGGTCAATATTTGAAATCTTTGTTCTTACTATATAGATAATAAAAGTTGCTTTCCTTTTTTTATTTTTTATTTTTTTATTTTTGACAGGCAGAGTGGACAGTGAGAGAGACAGAGAGAAAGGTCTTCCTTTTGCCGTTGGTTCACCCTCCAATGGCCCCCGTGGCCGGTGCGCTGCGGCCGGTGCACCGCGCTGATCCGATGGCAGGAGCCAGGTGCTTCTCTTGGTCTCCCATGCAGGTGCAGGGCCCAAGCACTTGGGCCATCCTCCACTGCACTCCAGGCCACAGCTGGAGATTAGAGCTGTACTGACTGGTCTACTGCAGATTTGTGTGGTTTTTAATTGCTACCTCATATGGATTGAGCATTCTCACTTCTTATTGTTGTCTCCCTATTGCAGTTTTGTTTTTTATTTTTTTAGTGACTTTTATCAATTTTTTTTACCCTGCCAACAGTGTGGGGCAGAAGCACAAAGTCAGGGGTCACCAAAAGTTACATTATAGCTATGGATAGGGCTTTTAGTTCTGTAAGTAGGCAATAAGATTGATTTTTTAAAAACAGATTTATTTTTTATTTATTTGAAAGGCAGAGTTACAGAGAGGGAAGGAGAGAGAGAGAGAGAGAGAAAGCAAGCAAGCAAGCTTCCATCCACTGGTTCACTCCACAACTAGCCCCCGGTGACCAGGGCTGGGCCAGGCTGAAGCTAGGAGCCCAGAGCTTCTTACCGGTCTCCCATGTCAATGCAAGGGGCTCATGCACTTGAGCCAAATTCCACTGTTTTCCCAGATGCATTAGCAGGGAGCTGGATTGGAAATGTAGCAGCTGGGACTCAAACCAGTGCCAGTAGGGGGTGCCAGCGTTAACAGGTGGAGGCTTAACCTCTGCACAATGCCAGCCCCCGATTGACTGATTTTTAAGATTTCTTCGTGGCGTTGCGGGTAAAGCTGCCGCCGACAGTGCCAACATCCATATGGGCGCTGGTTCGAGTCGCAGCTGCTCCACTTCCGGTCCAGCTCTCTGCTATGGCCTAGGAAAACAGTAGAAGATGGCCCAACTCCTTGGGCCCCTACACCTGCGTGGGAGACCTGGAAAAGGCTCCTGGCTCCTGGCTTTGGATCGGCACAGCCATCTGGGGAGTGAACCAGCAGGTGGAAGATGTCTCTCACTCTCTGCCTCTCCTCCTTTCTCTGTGTAACTCTGACTTTCAAGTAAAAAAAAAAATATTAAAAAAAAAAAAAACTTGCCAGTGCTGGCTCTTTAAAGCAAACAAACAAAAGATTTCTTCTACTTAAAAAAAAAAAAAATCCCAAGCTTTCAAGTACCAAATCCCACTTTTTACTCTCTGATCTAGCTTTTAAATTGATGGGAAGGACTCGTACCTCCTATCTCCTGCTCTAAAGATACCAGTATGTTATTGTAACTCTTAATTTCTTTGTTTTTTTTTTTTTTTAATATTTATTTGAAAGTCAGAGTTATACAGAGAGAGTAGAGGCAGGGAAAGAGAGAGAGAGGTCCTTCATCCAATGGTACTCCCCAGTTGGCCGCAAGTGCTGGGGCTGCGTCAATCTGAAGCCAGGAGCCAGGAGCCTCTTCCGGGTCTCCCACGTGGGTGCAGGGGCCCAAGGACTTGGGCCATCTTCCACTGCTTTCCCAGGCCATAGCAGAGAGCTGGATCAGAAGTGGAACAGCCGGGTCTCCAACCGGTGCCCAAATGGGATGCAGGCGCTTCAGGCCAAGGCGTTAACCCGCTGCGCCCCAGCGCCGGCCCCTTAATTTCTTACTTTACTGAAAATGTGCATTTCTAGTTTGAGCTTGTTTTTCTTCCCCTATATTTTCTATCTTTAAACCTTTGACTCAGATTCAGTGACTATACTGTGTCCCCTTTTGAACTTCTAGTCATGCACAGAAAGACATGACCAAGAATAACCAGTGTTATAAAAGCCAAAAATTAGAAGAAATCTGAATTTTTGTCAATAAGAGAATAGTTAAATAAATGACACATTGTACCTTGTAGCAGATAAAAAGAATAGTGTAAGTTTGTGTATATATTCATGGAGAGAATTCCAAGACATGTTAAATTTAAAAAGCAAATTACAAAATAATGTTTTCAGGATGATCTCATTTGTGTTCAAAATAACAGATTGTATATTTCCATGTGTACAAAGTTGTGTATGTAAATGCATTGAGAAAGGTCAAAAAAGATGTGTCAGACTGATAATTTGGGAGAAAAGAGATTCAAAGGCAAACTATGATGTTGATTTTATTTTTAAAATTTTTGTAGCAAGAAAATATAGCTTATGGATTTATTAAATATTTTTAAAAGATAGTAAGTGAGGAGCTGGTGATGTGGCGTAGTAGGCTAAGCCTCTGCCTGCAGCGCCGGCATCCCATATGGGTACCAGTTTGAGTCCTAGCTGCTCCACTTCCCAATCCATCCCTCTGCTATGGCCTGGGAAAGCAGTAGAAGAAGGCCCATGTGCTTAGGCCCCTGCACCCACGTGGGAGACCTGGAGGATGCTCCTGGTTCCTGGCTTGGGGTTGGCTCAGTTCCAGCTGTTGTGGCCATTTGGGGAGTGAACCAGCAGATAGAAGACCTTTGTCTCTCCCTCTCTCTGTAACTCTGCCTCTCAAATAAATAAATCTTTTTTTTTTTTGACAGGCAGAGTGGACAGTGAGAGAGAGAGAGAGAGACAGAGAGAAAGGTCTTCCTTTGCCGTTGGTTCACCCTCCAATGGCCGCTGTGGCCAGCGCACCGCACTAATCCGAAGGCAGGAGCCAGGTGCTTCTCCTGGTCTCCCATGGGGTGCAGGGCCCAAGCACTTGGGCCATCCTCCACTGCACTCCCAGGCCACAGCAGAGAGCTGGCCTGGAAGGGGGGCAACCGGGACAGAATCCGGCGCCCCGACCGGGACTAGAACCCGGTGTGCCGGCGCCGCTAGACGGAGGATTAGCCTGTTGAGCCGCGGCGCTGGCCCCAATAAATAAATCTTAAAACAAAAAAATAGGGGCTGGCGCAGTGGCACAGCAGGTTAACACTCTGGCCTGAGGCACCAGCATCCCACATGGGCACTTGTTCTAGTTCCGGCTGCTCCTCTTCCAATCCAGCTTTCTGCTATGGCCTAGGAAAGCAGTAGAAGATGGCCCAAGTCCTTGAGACCCTGCACTCATGTGGGAGACCCAGAGGAAGCTCTTGGCTCCTGGCTTCGGATTGGCACAGCTCCGGCCGTTACAGCCAGTTGGGGAGTGAACCATCAGATGGAAGACCTCTCTCTCTCTCTCTCTCTCTCTGCCTCTCCTCTCTCTGTGAAACGCTTTCAAATAAATAAATAAATAAATAAGGCTTTTAAAACTAAATAAACTTTTTTTTAAAAAAATGGCATTAGAACATCAAATAATCTAGTACTCAAAGCTAAGTCCTTCTGTGTTACGTGCTCCACAGAACTGGTAATAACAAAGCTGGAACAAGAACTTTAGGTTTTCTAATTTCCAGACTAGAGCTTTTTTACAACACCTTCAAGGCATAGTTAAAATATGTATTTTTCATAAAGCCTTTTCTAATTATCCAAAGTGATTTCTCCTTTAAATTCCTGAGACTCACTGTGTCACTTACATGACTTTTTACTGACACTATACTGTGGTTTCTCTCCTTTCTGGATCATTTATATCCTTTCTAGATCCTGCACATTACTTGAAGACAGAGACTGTAACTGTTAATCCTTGTATCTGACAGCCATGTAACAGTTACTCAGTTAGCAAGGAACATTTCGATGTAGGCCATATTTGCGCCTTTTGTAGATGAAGACAGAAAAGCTGAATGCCCATACAAATAAATAGCTGTACTTTTTTTTTTCTCCCATGAAACCTGTTGCTTGATAGAAAATACTTTAGGATGGCACATAGTGAGATATTTGCTACCTTGAAAATATCTTTGCTTTCCAAAGAAACTAGTTTTGTTCTCCATTCCTGCTCCAGAGAGAACAGTTTGTTCCCATAGGATTTTCTAGGTAATATGACCCACTTAGGAAATACGGGGTGACTGTGCTACATAACGGAACCTCTGCTGGAGTTGTACCAAGGGAAGAAGCCTCTTGAGTGTATGGTTTACAAGTAAAGGTACATTCTTTTCTGTATTTGAATTGGTACAGCAGAACAGGAAACTCCATTGTCACTTAAAATTTTACTATAAATACCATAGAAACTACGACAAGATATTTTTTGTGATTATAAAAATTTTCTTCAAAATATTTGGACTTTATGTAGAACACCTTTGATGTGTTCTCACCTGTTCCTTCTATGTAGTGGTATTATCTGATATTAACATCTTATTAAATTTGCACCGGCATCTGGAGTAGACTCCTCTGTGACTTTCATCTGCAGTTTGTTAATCCTATTTTGCTTTTCATTTTTTGTAACTTGGTTTATTCTAATAGCTATTTAATTTGTAATCATTAAAAAGCTTGTGGAATTTTTTAAACAAATAGTCTTTCTTTTTTTTTTTTTTTTTTTTTAATAGGCAGAGTGGACAGTGAGAGAGAGAGACAGAGAGAAAGGTCTTCCTTTTCCGTGGGTTCACCCCACAATGGCCGCCGCAGCCAGTGCGCTGCAGCCGGTGCACTGCACTGATCCGAAGGCAGGAGCCAGGTGCTTCTCCTGGTCTCCCATGGGGTGCAGGGCCCAAGCACTTGGGCCATCCTCCACTGCCTTCCCCGGCCATAGCAGAGAGCTGGCCTGGAAGAGGGGCAACCGGGACAGAATCCGGCGCCCCGACTGGGACTAGAACCTGCTGTGCCAGCGCCGCTAGGTGGAGGATTAGCCTATTGAGCTGCGGCACTGGCCTAGTCTTTTTTTTAAAGATTTGTTTTATTTATTTGAAAGACAGAGTTACAGAGAGAGATAAAGACAGAGAGGTCTTCCATCCGCTGATTCACTCACCAGATGGCCGCAACGGCAGGAGCTGCACCAATCCGAAGCCAGGAGCCAGGAGCTTCTTCTGGGTCTCCCACTAGGTGCAGGGGCCCAAGGACTTGGGTCATCTCCTACTGCTTTCCCAGGCCGTGACAGAGAGCTATATTGGAAGAGGAGCAGCCAGGACCAGAACCGGCGCCCATATGGGCTGGCGGTGCTTCAGGCCAGGGCGTTAACCCGCTGCGCCACAGCGCCGGCCCTAAACAAATAGTCTTTCCTGGAAGTTTCCATGATCAGCTGGAACAATGTTCTTGGATTGGGCCTTGGAAGACTTACTCTTTTTTGGAAAGCTAATGTCTCTTAGTTTAGAATTTAATGGCTTTAAGAAAACATAGGGGGCTGGCACTGTGGTCGAGCAGGTAAAGCTGCCGCCTGCAGTGCCTGCATCCCATATGGGTGCCAGTTTGAGTCCTGGCTGCTCCACTTTTGATCCAGCTCTCTGCTATGGCCTGGGAAAGCAGTAGAAGATGGTCCAGGTCCTAGGGCCCCTGCACCCACGCTGGAGACCTGAAAGAAGCTCCAGGTTCCTGGCTTTGGATTGGCCCAGCTCCAGCTGTTGCAGCCATTTGAGGAGTAAACCAGTGGATGGAAGACCAAATCAAAAGTAAAAGTCTTCCCTGTTTAAACAAAGGAAAACACAAGATGCTGTGAATTTCCATAAATGCTGTTTAGAGACTGTTATTGAGCCGGCCAGTTGGTCCTTATGTGTATTCGTCTGGAGTCATTCTTACGTTATGGGCATTGGCCTAGTGGTTAAAGTGTCTGAACCCTGTATCAGAGTACCAGAGTTTGGGTCTTGGTTTTGGCTCCCAGTTGCAGCTTCCAACTTACCCAGTCCTTGGAGGCAGCAGGTGATGGCTCAAGTAGCTTGGTCCTTGTCCCCCATGTGGGAGAACTAGCCACTGAGTTCCCAATTCCTGGCTTCTGCCTGGCCTAACCTTGGCCATTGTAGGCATTCAAGAAGTGAACCACCACATCTGTCTGTCCATCTGTCTCTTTTGCTCTGTGCCTCTTAATAATAAAAAAAATGTGAGTTTAAGGTATAAGTGTATAATATATACATATATTTGACAGTACTTCGTAAAATTCATAGAAAATGGAATTAAAAGTTATTTTGTTTTGGTGTAACAAATTTTTAAAGCCCATGCACATTATTTTTCTAAAACATGGTTTTCACAGAATTTTTGAAGACCTTTTGTATGCATGGATTTTTTTTAAGATTTATTTATTTATTTGAGAGTCAGAGTTACAGAGAAAGAGTAGGAGAGACAGAGAGAGAGAGAATGTGTCTTCCATCGGCTGGTTCACTCCACAATTGGCCGCAATGACTGCATCTGCACTGATCCAAAGCCAGGAGCCAGGAGTTTCTTCCCGGTCTCCCACATGTGTGCAGGGCCCTAAGGACTTGGGCCATCCTCCACTGCTTTCCCAGGCCATAGCAGAGAGCTGGATCACAAGTGGAGCAGCTGGGACTCAAACTGGCACCCATATGGGATGCCGGCACTGCAGGCGATAGCTTTTAGCCGCTACATCACAGCACAGGCCCCATATGCATGAATTTCAAAAAAAATTTTTAATAGCACATTTTTTAATTCCATTTTCTATGAACTTTTGGAAGTACTCTCATACATCTTTACTTTTTTTTTTTTTTTTTTTTTGACAGGCAGAGTTAGACAGTGAGAGAGAGGGCCGGCGCTGTGGCTTACTTGTCTAACCCTCTGCCTGCAGCACCGGCACTCCAGGTTCTAGACCCAGTTGAGGGGTGAAGACCTTTCTCTCTGTCTCTCTTCCTCTCTCTACCTCTGCCTGTCAAAAAAAAAAAAAGAGAAAGGTTCCCCCCACTGACACACCCGTGCGGGTGCAGGGCCCAAGCACCTGAGCCATCCTTCACTGCCTTCCCCGGGCCACAGCAGAGAGCTGGACTGGAAGAGGAACAACTGGGACAGAATCCAGCACCCCTACCAGGACTAGAACCCGGGGTGCCTGCACTGCAGGTGGAGGATGAGTCAACTGAGCCACGGCACCGGCCACATCTTTACATTTTTACATAAATGTTTACATGTATGTAAACATACATGTCTAAAAAGGCAGTTATACAAGTTTGACTTATTTGAAAGCTGCAAAGTAACTGAGATAGAGATAACAAGAGTTTATTAAACAGGAAGTGATCCGTAACTATTTTATTGAATTTATGATATATTGGAAGTTGTTCTTGCTCTGTTGAGTATTTTGTTAGCAATGTAGAGAATAGTCGTTTAAGAAATTCTGATCTGCTGTGCTTAGAAAAAAAGATATTGGTGGTTTTTTTTTTATTTTTCTTGATAACTTTTAATTTTTCATCTAAAGGAATATTCTTAGGTAGATGAATTTACTCCTGATAGTTAATAGGAATTTGCCTATAAGTCTATGAATTTTATTTGGCCTTCGAGTTTGTTTTAATAAAATTCCTTTCATTTATAAATTGTAGTCAGCAGTCCTTAGTAATAATATTTGAATGAATAGAAAAAATGCGTTTTTTTAAGCATTAGCTTAAAGTAATTCTGGTTAGTGTTTTAATTTAAACCAATTTTTAAATGGTGGTCCTCTAATATTAGAGAAACTTCTTTGGAAATGGCGTAAGAACTATATTCTGCTTCTACCTAGGATTTTTTAGATTGAGCATGGAAAATACTCCTGATTTGCAGAGTGGACCTGTCTTGGGCAGGAATCCAGTGCAGCCATTAAGATGTTGCATGGGATGCCCACGTCCCAGATTTGAGTTCTGATCCCAGCTTCCTGTTAAGATGCACCCTGAGAAGCAGCAGGTGATGGCTCAAAGAATTAGGTCACTGCCGCCCATGTGGGAGACCCAGATGGTGTTGTAAGCTCCTGGTGGTCTAGACGAACCCCCGCTGTTGTGGGCGTTTGGGGAGTGAACCAGCAAATACAAGATCTCTTTCTCTTTGTCTCTGTCTCTTTGCCTTTCAAATAGAATAAGAAATATTATTTTAAAAAGCAGAGAATCTTAAAAGATGGACTTACCCTTTTTGGCAAGTGACGGTTAATCAAAGCTTACTCAGCATTTTTGATAGAGTTTTGAGCCTCAGAGGGATGCCAGCACAGGTCCAACAATGGTTAGGAATAAACAATAGTTAAGAATTATTCATCTTTTGGCAGAAGTTTTACTTTTTCCAATAAAATATAATTTGGCCTTTCTTTCCTTTCCACCTATTGTTTCTCCCTGGCCCTTTGCATTTTTAGGTGCATTAACTAGGAAATGTGTTGAAAATTTATGTCTCAAATTTCTTTGGTGGTTTGATCTTGAAAATTTAGGATTTGTTTTGAACTTTATTTGAATATTAGTGCAGGATGATTTATAAATAGTGGGTAATGGTTAGATATATATGCTAGTGTGTTTTTTTAAGATTTTATTTATTTATTTGAGAGGTAGAGTTACAGACAGTGAGAAGGAGAGACAGAGAGAAAGGTCTTCCTTCCATTGGCTCACTCCCTAAATGGCCGCAATGGCTGAAGCTGCGCCCATCCGAAGCCAGGTGCTTCTTCCCAGTCTCCCATGCAGGTGCAGAGGCCCAAGCACTAGGGCTATCCTCCACTGCTTTCCCGGGCCACAGCAGAGAGCTGGATTGGAAGAGGGGCAGCTGGGACTAGAGCCAGTGCCCATATGGGATGCCGGTATCGCAGGTGGATGATTAGCCTACGGAGCCACGGTGCTGGCCCCCTAATGTTTCTTAATAGTCTTATATACCATTAACCCCAAGAACACATATTTTTTCTTTAGAAGATTTGCGGTTTTTCTTTTTCTCTCTCTTTTTTAAAAGATTTATTTATTTATTAGAAAGGCAGAGTTACAGAGAGGCAGAGGCAGAAGCAGAGAGAGAAAGGGGTCTTCCATCTGATGGTTCATTCCCCAGAATGGCTGCGATGGTCAGAGCTGCGATGGCTGGACCTCCGTGCACCCAGGAGCCAGGAGCTTCCTCCAGGTCTCCCACATGGGTGCAGGGGCCCAAGGACTTGGGCCATCTTCTCCTGCTTTCCCAGGTGATAGCAGAGAGCTAGATCGGAAGTGGAGCAGCCAGGACTTAAACTGGAGCCCATTTTAGGTGCTGGCACTGCAGGTGGCGGCCTTACCCACTACCCCACAGCACTGGCCCCTAAGAGCATGTATCTTTTAAGTAAAATTATTTGAGAGGCAGAATGAGAGAGCGAGGGAGTGTAAGTGCACATGCGTCAGACAGAGCTTCCACTTGCTGGTTGACTCTCCAGATGTCTGATAGCTGGAGCTGGGGCTGAGGCCAAAGCTGAGAGCTGGAAACACAATCCAGGTCTCCCCTGTGGGTTGCAGGAACCCACTTACCTGAATCATCATCTCTGCCTTCCAGGGACTACATTAGTTGGAAGGTGGATCCAGGACCCAGAGCTGGGAATTAGAGCCAGATACTCTAATGTGGGATGTGGGCATCTTCACTGTCAGGTTAGATGCCCACCCCAGGATTGTGCTTTTTTATTTGAAATCTTTGATGGAAATGGGAGTCCATTTGAAGAGCTTAGTTCTGGCACTGACAAAGGAATCCTAAAGATATTTGCAAATTTTCTGACAAGTACTTATCAGACATCAACTGTGTGTTAGGCACTGGGGATTGGATGAAAGAAGCAGAAGTCCTGGACTCTGTTTTGGAGAGTGTACAGTCTAAGTAGGTAGAAGACAAAGGGTACTATTATAAAGCCCCTATGTGCAGTGTATAATTAAATGCTAAGTTGTGTGTGTCCTTGGTGGAAATTGAGGTAAACTCATTGCAGGGAGTTATCGTGGACTGAGAGAGTATGAACAGCTTAGTCATGAATGAACCTGTGATGGGCATGTTTCTTTGTAGCTTGCCAAAATTGGTTTTAACATATTTTCAGTAGGTTTGAGGGGGCTTTCAGGAAAAATGCTTCATCTGAATCTGTTTTTTTAGACATTAAGTTTGCCAGTTATTCTGGGGTCAAAGCAAATTTGCAGTTTTTGGCATGGATAATATAGGTAAGAGCCCAAGAGCACATTTAGAAAATGTGATACAGCCTTTGTACTCCTTTAGTTTATAGTAGCTCTCCCAGTGTGTCTCAGTGTTAGCTAAAATACAGTGTCCTTTCATGACTGTGCCTCTCCTATGAAGGACTGCTCACTGTGCTGCTCCGTCTTTTTGTAGTGGTAGTGCTGGTGATTGTTCCTTTACTGTCTTGTGAAAACAGCCAAAAACTTCAGCTGGGACAGATCAGTCTGCACAGCTCCTGGGAAAGTAAAGATAGCTGGAAATTCTTTTCCTTGGTGCTCCAGAATGTCGTAGATTCCATTCTGGAGTACTGTTGTAGATGTTAATTTTCTCTCTCTCTCTCTCTCTCTCTCACTCACTCACTAACTCTGCCTGTCAAAAAATTAAAAAAAAAAAAATTAAGAAACTTTCTGCCTGCTCTAGGGTATCAGATATTTTTGATTTTTAAAAATTTCATCCCTCATCCTGTTTCTTTGAGCTTCCCTAAAAACTGAAATTGAGGGGTGGATGTTGGGTCTCACGGTTAAAATGCCAGTATCCTATTTTGGAGTGCCTAGGTTTGATACCCAACTCTGCTTCTGCCTCCAGATTCCTGTTAATGTAGACCAAGAGACAGTGGTGATGGCTCAAGTAATTGGATGACTGTTGCCCATGTGGGAGACCTGCATTGAGTTCTGGGTCCCCAACTTGGGCCATGTTGTGGGCATTTGAGAAGTGAGCCAATGGATAGAAGCTGTGTGTGTGTGTTACATGTCTGCCTGCCATTCTCTCGGCTCCCCTCATCTCCCTTGCCTCTCAAAATAATTTTTAAAAACAACTAAAGTTGATAAAAGGATTTCAAGTCATAACATAGATCTTATTTTTCATAGAATGCCTTATTTCCCAATACTTTTATCCTGAAGTAATTAGAGCAAAGCTGTCTCTGAAATAATCTGAAATTAAATGAGAAAGAAATGGGCTTTTTCATCTGGAAAGGCAATGGCTAAATTAGGATAAGAGGGAAGATATGGAAATTAAGAAAAAGTACACTTAGATTTCTTTACCAAAATAATAATCACTAAAATTAGGAAGCGTGGCCCCCTTTGAAGCTTGAAGGAGAAATAGAAAAAAAAAAAAAAGCCCTACTTAATACAATACATGTAGAAGGGACTTATTATTACTCTAATAAAAAAGGAAAAGAAAAACCAAGTTTAGTTCAGTTCTTTGATAATGTTGCTAATTAGGCTTAGTAAGAACATGTTGGAGTATGTTTCTGTAATATATAGGTAATTGTCATGCAGGACAGCCATCAGTTTTCCTCAGCCATTCATTAATGTCACTGAAAGAAGAACTCTGGCATCTGGACTATTGGTATAACCAGTTGTGGCATTTAGCTCTGTAATTGTAATGTCCATATGATGTTTCTGTCTTGATTCTCTTTATTCTACCCTGATTCACAATAATTCCATTACACAACAGCTTGTCTTTAGCAAAGCTGTAAAAAAAAAAAAAAAAAAAAAAAGAAAGAAAGAAAAAAGAAAAATCCAGCCTCTTAAGCAAGACTCTTTTTAAATAGAAATTCCTTCTCTGCAGTTAAAACATTTATAAACATAACACAATTTAGATAGAGCTGAACGACTTTGCAAAACTGTTTTTGTGACAGCGAGGACAGTTTGATGATACTGATTTCTTAGAACTCTAGAGTATATTTCTACATGTATTAAGTGAGATGAATGAGGGAGTGTGGGTTTGCTGTCTTACAGTGTTCAAGAAATATTGGTGTTTTTAGAATAATATATTGAGGGGCCGGTGCCGGGGGTCACTTGGCTAAT